CTGCGTTGGTGCTCTGGGACTTGGACCCTAGCTCGAGCTAGCAAATAAACTCCTTTGCCACTTGCATCCTCGGTGACTCTGCCTCTCTGTTCCTGGGGCCGAGGGGAACCGGTTCTTACACTCCCTGGGCCGGCACAGTCTTCTCAGGGTGCTGCAGAGACCCTCATCTGAGGACTCCAACAGCACGAAGGGATTAAACAGGCAGTTTTCCCTACGACAGTGGCTGGCAGAGAACTGCCTATGTGGGAGTGGAAAAACTCATCACCAAGGGATGAAATGCACTCAGATGACAACCTGTTCCATCACTGGCCATTCCAGGAAAGCAGGGAGTGGAGCTTTTTAATGGGAAAGGAAAGCTGTTATTCCACAGACATAATTCACCCGATGACTTAACCAGGAAGGAAGGGGAATCTATCTGAGCTCAGCGCCTGCCTGACTAGCCCTTGCTGACCTCCCCACTCCATGGGCCCTTCCCAGCACCCCCATCCCACCCTCCGTAAAGGACTGACACGTCTCCGCGCTGTGCTCCACAAGGACTCACACATAGCGCCACACACTTCCCCTGAAGGGCACGGCCTGACGCCCAGGGCTGGGATTTACCAATGTCACTCAGCAAGGTGAGGATGGCTCCTTCCCGCAGGCCGCAGCAGTTCTCAAACTGGTTCAGGTACTGTTGGGAAGTGGAGAAGCAGCATCAGAGCAAGTGGTCAAAAAGCAGGTAGGTTCACACGTCTCTCACCAGCCAAAGCCACCGGACTGCTGACGCCAGGCCCTGGGCTTTGGGGGACCTGCTTCTGAGGACACCTGGGCCGCAGGGTTAGGAGGAATTGGCTGGAGGAGGAGGAGGTGGCGGTGGCAGTTCTGAGAACCCCTGGCGGCCCTCACGTACTCACAGCGGTGGCCCTGGCTGCAGGTGTCTGGGTCATTCTAAGGGGGGGCCTGCAAGTTGCACCTGCTGCTGCAGCTCGGAACGAGGTGGGCCGGAGTCCACGCTCAGCCACAACAGTCGCCGCTCCTGCGAGTCCCGCAGACACGGCGGGCTGGGAAGGCACTCACCGGAAACACCTCTGACCTCTTCCCTGACATCGCCTCGCCGTGTGGGGTGATGATGATGGCCCAGAATATTCAGTGAGCACTGACTACACGCCTGGTGCGCGGCTACACTCTGCATGATTAGTTCCATGAAGCTTTGCCTGCCTTACCGCGTTTAACCCTCACTACCACCACCAAGGGGAGTACGGTTGGAATCTCCACTTCAGATGTGAGGAAACTGGTGTCCACGTCTGTCACGCCATGAAGCCAAGTCCAGCTGACGCTCGAGCCTAACAGCCCTGTGCCCTCCCGGCCCGCCCACCGAGAGGCCCCACGTGCTGCTGGAAGGTGGCCTCCAAGGAGGACAACAGGGAAAGTCCCTTCCCAACTGAGGCTTCCAGTCAGTAGTTTCATCTGTGTTCAGGAACGTTCGAGAATCTGCTCACCTGCGTGGCACACAGACTTTTAAAATCAATTCTGACTTTTATTTTTGCTCATGTGCCAGCCAAGCTTGTCTCTCCACACCTACAGGTGTAAGGAGAGACAGGCTAACTCATTTGGAGGACAAAGGAAACAGGTCACAAGAGCTCTGGGCAGCAGTGTCCTCCCCAGCGCCCCTCTGGATGACAGGACAGAGGCCCTCGGGACACAATCCGCACCCCCCCGCCCCACCCTCGACCACCCTGCAACCCACACCAGCCATCATGTTGAAATTCTCATCTTCCTCTTCGCCACCTGAGACCAAGTCTGAAACCCTCTGCCCTGCTCAGAGCCCTCTGTGGTCTGGCCACATCCCACCTCCCCCACGGCTGCCCTCGCAGACTCTCCCCTGGCATAGCAGCCTGGCTCTATCTATCTCCACGCTGCAGTTAGTCACCGGCTGATCGTCAGACGGTAGGAAACAAAGGGGAAAATCGAAGCACCGTCAAGTGCCCCATTTCTCATCCGTGGGTCACGCCGGCAACTGTGTTCACATCCTGCTGTGACAACACCCCGGGACACGCCCACCTCCCACGGCAGGAGATCACGGGGCAGGTCAACCTTCATGGGAAGTTTCCTTTTGAAAAAAGAAGGCACAAGGGCCCAGAGGAGTAACAGAACAGCACATGACATGAGTCCGGGCAACTGGCAGGGAAAGAGAGAATAAAGGTCTGGGCACCCCCGCCCCCACCGTGGCCTTCCAGAGTGAAGAGGTGAAGGGAGCTGACTCAGCAGCAACCTCTTTTTCAATTAAAAATATAACAAATAATAACTCTTTTGTTCAGAGCTTTCGTTTTTTGTAACGTTCCATGGCACCGTCCGGTCTCACAGATGGAGAGTGGCCTGCAGGTGGGTGCAGGGGGACTGTGACCCAGCTCTGCTGCTGCAGCTGTGTGAGGCCTGGTAACCACCCCAACCTCTCTGGGCCGTGACGTCCATCTGAAACGTGGGGATCTTCTCTGTCCACCAACATCATAGGGCTGCTGGACTCAAATGAGGCAGCGTGTGCGAGCAGGCTGTGTGACGCTGCTTTAGGGAGCAGCTGAGAGGCGGGCACCCGGAACCTTCCCTGAGATCAGCGAGGGCTGCCATCACCCCCCGCCCCAAACGTGCATCTTAGGAAAGAGCAGTTGCCGTGCTGCGAGGGAAGAAAGCACAGCCCCGCGGCGGAGCCAGGGCGGCCCTGGAACCCCAGCCCAGGCCCCCGTGTGCTCCACTCCCGACCCCGCGTGTGGTGCTGCCACACATGCGGAGAAAATCCCTCCAGGTAAGGACAGCAGTGGATCAAATGGCCCTGAGGTGCGGAGGAGGAAAAGTTTGTTTTGGACTTGCCCGGTCTCCCCACGCCCGGCCCTGGTAATGACAGTTTCCTTGTCCCTTCAGTCACCACAGGGCAGAAAGTACAGAAAGCCCTTCCCTCCCTTTCTCGTAAGTGCTTCTGATTCAGGCTCTTGATTCTCACACACGCCACCCCAGAGTGGGCAAAGACGCGGGGACTGACGAGGAAAGGCAACCCCCAGTGCTGCTGTGGCTCCTCGAGCTTCCTGAGGAGGACAGGGGTGAAAGGTCTCCCCATTTCCCCTTCCTGGCGCCCGCCCCTGCCCAGACAGGCTGTGCCCCTGCCCGCCAGCCCAGAAGCCTCACCTTTCGGAGGTCCCCTCCTTGGCAGTACTCCATGGCCAGCAGGGGTAAGTCATTGGGGGCCAAGTTCTGCATCCCCTCGGGAACATCCCGGGCGGCGACCACATTGGGGTGGTTCAGCCTAGGAAGGAGGAAAAGCCTATGAGGGTCGAACCCACGCTCTGCTCAAACCCAGGCCCCCGTCTCTGTGGCTGAGCCAAGCTCACCTCCCAACAAAGGCTGGAATAACCCAGGACCGCGGACGTGAACCGAGGAAGGCGGGGTCCTGGACGGGCCTCGGTGCCGGGGCGGTTAGCGCTCCCCAGCCCTACTTTCAGCACCGTGCACTCAGGGACCCTGTGAGCGCATCCTGTGTAACTTAACTGCCTTTAGAGCGCCCCAGCTTGCTGCACTGCGAAATCGCTTCTAGAAGCACAGAAGGCAGAGGGACTTCCAATCTCATGCCATTCGAGTGGGTAGGCATGGACATGCGTGCAGACAGGCAAAGAAGGTGATACCTCCTCTTTTTAAGAGGCTAGCCTAGCCAGGCACGCTCACACACACCGGTAATCTCAGCACTGTGGGAGGCTGAGGTGGGAGGATTACTTGAACCCAGGAGTTCGAGGCCAGCCTGGGCAACATAGTGAGACCCCATCTCTACCAAAAGAAAAAAGTTGACTGGGCGTGGTGGCGCACGCCTATAGTCCCAGCTACTCAGGACGCTGAGGCAGGAGGATCCCTTGAGCCCTGGAGTGTGAGGTTACACTGAGCTATGATTGCACCACTGCACTCCAGCCTGGGCAACAGAGAGAGACCCTGTCTCTTTAAGTCTTCCCAGCTGACAGCTGACTCTCAGGCGCTTACCTAAGAGCCTCACTGGCCAGGAGGACGGCATCTGTCTGGCAGAGTGACAGACCCTGTCTCCACACTGGAGGAGTACACATCGGCAATAGCATGACAGCACTGGAGAGTCACATGCCACCTCGGAATTTGAAATATTAAGAGAAAAGAAGGATTTTTTGCTGACAAAGGAAAATCGCCACAATGACTATTTTATATTATTTAATATAACAAATAACACTGACCAAAAGCCCTTGATAGGGCCCAGTGCGGACATTAAATGCTACTCCTCCAGAAGTCCTCAGAAGCAGGAGAGTCACCTCTCTGGATATTCTGGCTGGTGTCCTGATCGGGGGACCGAGATCTAAGACTCCCCGTCCCACAGGCAGAGGGCTGGCGGCTCCCCCAGGTCTCACTGCAGCACCCCAGGGCCCCGCGGCCCCGCCTGGCCCTCACCTCCTCATGATCTGGATCTCCAGGCACCAGCGCTCGCGGTTCCGGGGGCTGAGCTCCTGCCGGCACTGCTTGATGGCGATCTGCTCACCCGTTTCCTGCGGAGAGAGCACGGGGGTCAGCAGGGAGAGGCCTTGTCGGGGGCACAGGAGCGGTGCCTAAGGCGTCCCTGCCATCACCTCCTGCCCTCTGAGGCCACATCTGCGCCCCTGAAGGATGGCTCAGGCGCCTGCCCCATCGGGCTGTGTCCTCACCATCCCCACCTCGCACCGCCCCCTCCTGCCTCTTTTCTCTCTGTCCAGAGTCTACAGATCCTCCGAGGCCTTGCTCCGCTCCTGGCCCCACCATGATCTCTGCTGACCATTCCTGCCAAGGGAGATTTCTCTCTCCGGATCCTGACTGCTGTTCCATTGGCTGAACCGTATGTCATCACCGATATTTGACCACTTTGACCTACAAAAATGGCACTTTCATATGGTTCAACCTAATAGTTACTGGCACCGTGAAGTCCATGTGGGACTTTTTTCTCTTCAGAGACAGCGCAAAGACAGTACAGGAGATAGAACACAGGCTGATCCAAATTCCTACTCTGCCATTTTAATTTACTATGTGACTTTGGCAAACCACCTGGTCTGACTCAGTCTCTTCATCTGTAAAATGGGAACACCGACATCCACTTCTCAGGGCTGTCACGAAGATGGGCACCCAGCAGTGTCTGGCCCTTGGCAGGTGTTCAATGACCCACTGAGAGGGAGCCGGGTCAGGCAGGTACTCCTGTCATTTACAGCCCTCCAGAGCTCAGCTCCCCCTTCCTTTCTGGCCGCCCTCCCAGGACACTGTAGGCGGGCACCGCCAGTTGGAGAAGAGTTTGCCCTGCTCTACGTTCCTGTGACCTTCACTGCCCACGCCAAAGAGTGACTCTCTGCAGGGTGATAGGGCTTTTTCTCTCCTCTTTGTTGAACTACGCACTTGTCCATTTTCCTGGCTTTACCCTCTACACCAGTGACCAGCACAGCAGCCTCAATGTGGCTTCTTAAACCGCAGAGACAGCAGTCAGTCACTTTCTGTGCATAATCCGCCGAGTGACTGGTTCCTGAGGGTTAACCCTGCTCTGTTCACGGATGCACGAGGAGCTGTAAAGACACCCTAGACAGGGAAAGCTCCAAATCTGTGGTGCTGGCGGCAGCAGGGAGGGCAGCTCTGGCCTCAGGCGCTCTAGCCGCCCCTTGAGGAGCCCCTACCACACCGCTGCCGCCTCCTGGGTCCGTGGGGGCTTCCAGTACGGCTGAGGGACAGCAGCTGCCCCTGGCTGCAGCTCCGGTGGAACCGGCCTGGGAGCTGACCCCACCACCAGCACACAGGCTGACCTGCGCCAGTGCAGTGAGTCTTCTGTGCACCTGCAGCAAGAACTCCCCACAGCCCCACACACGTGGGCAGAGCCGCGGCCTGCAGGAGAGCACAGTGAACCCAGTAACGGGAAGATCGCAAAACTGTACCAAAATACTACGGTTGCTCACTCGAAGGCTATCCTGGAGGCCCTGTCAGACCACTTTCTCCGTTTTCTCGTTTTATGGAAACGCATACTGCAAAGAATCATCAGTCTTGTAAGTGAGCAAGTCACGCGGCGCTGAACGGGACGCACAGAGGACCGGGGCAGGGCCTCCCAGTGCGCACATGGCTGTCCTCACCGCGCGCGGACCGCATCGCAGCCTCGTGGTTACTGAACAGGCTAGGACCCCTGCAGGAACAAGGACCCACCTAGCAAGAGAAGGAAAAATGGGAACCTCCAAACACACCAGAAGTTGTCCACTGAGACCAGTGAGTCATTGCTTGATAAACCAATCTGTAACACTGGTATTCAAGTACGGAAAGCTTCAGAAGTAACGGGGAAGCGGAACAGTCTCTTGCCTGTCACAGCTCCCATGCAGAACAGACACTACAACACCCCAAAATGCTCTCAGAAGCTGCTCCCACCACAGCCCAACACTGTTGTGACCAAGCCATCAGTCAGTGACCTGACACGCCTACTTTTTAAAAAATAGCTCTATTGAGATATAATTCATGCACCGTACAATTCATCGGTTTAAATTATAAAATTCAATGCTTTCTGGAATACTCAGAGTCGTGTAACCAAAACCAAACGATGATCAATTTTAGAACATATTCGCCATTTCCCAAGGAAGCTCCACACCCACTAGCAGTCCATCCCATCCCCCCAGCCCTTCCGTCCCGCACAGCCACCAATCTGCTTTCTGTCTCAACGCACTTGCCTGTTCTGGACGTTTCACGTAAATGGGATCATCCGAAGTGTGGCCTTTGTGACGGGCTTCTGTCACTCAGCACTTTGTTTCCAAGGTGCACCCACGGTGCGGCCTCAAGCCCACAACTGTGACTGAGGCAGACGGTCAGCCACGGTCTGCCCTCAGCACCATTCTCTTCCTTTCTTCGTCTATTAGGACCCTGATCTTTGGCCTAGATTCTGAGGCTCTCTCTGAAGAAGAGCTGACCTCTTTCAAAAACTGTAAATCCTGGCCACAGTGGCTCAAATCTGTAATCCCAGCACTTTGGGAGGCCAAGGTGGGAGGATTGTTTGAGGCAGGAGTTCAAGGTTACTATAGCGAGCTATGATTACACCACTGCACTCCAGCCCAGGTGACAGAGCAAGACCCTGTCTCTAAAAAATAAAAATAAAGAAAAAAATTGTGAATCCCAGTGCTTCTGAACTGATTAGTACAGTAGCACAAGTGACCATGGGCAGAAGTCCATCTAATGCCTTTCGAGAATCAGGGAATGTGTCAAAAGAATAACATTCCATCAGGCGTGGTGGCTCGTGCTGTAGTCCCAGCTACTCGGGAGGCTGAGGCAAGAGGATTGCTTTAGCCCAGGAGTTCAAGGCTGTAGCGAGCTGTGATGGTGCACGCGAACGGCCACCGCAGTCCGGCGTGGGCAACATAGCAAGACCCTGTCTCTTAAAAAAAGGAAAAGAATACCACTTCTTCGGTCAACGTACGAACTATGCCACAGCTCTCTGCACACGGTGAGCTTCCCGATTCCTCATCTGCTCTCACATTTGAATTTGGTTTCAAGTTTCACTTCTCATTAGCGTTCAAACCCAGACATTTTCGCCCAGTTCTATGGCAGCTTCACCAACAGCAGCTCTGCCTGATGCTAATTGCTACAGTTTGAATGTTTGCCTGCTCCAAAATTCATGTTGACATTTAATTCCCCCTGTGACAGTTTTAAGAGGTGGAGCCTTTAAGAGGTGATCAGGCCACGAGGGCTCCTCCCTCTCGGGTGGGATCTGTGGCCTTGCAAATGCCCTCCTTTGCCTCTTTGCCCTTCCACCTCTGCCGTGCACGGACGCAGCAGGAGGCCCTTGCCAGATGCCAGCACCTTGATCTTGGACTTCCCAGCCTCCAAAACTCTGAGAAAATAAATTTTTATTCATTATTAATTACCCGGTCTCAGCTACTCTGTATGGCAGCACGGAACGAACGAGACACTATTACAGGGGACTCTCCAGAGGAGCCAAGACTTGTGGGATGGACGGGCGGAGCCACAGCACGTGGTACTGCCGTGGGAGCACCCATTCATCGCGCGACCTTTCGTGGACAGTATCACAAGCAGCAGTTGGCTGAGATACTGTAACTCGTGGTTTCTTACCTCAGAATGACTCTGAGACTTTAAATCAGGATATTGAAAACTCTGCACCTATTTAACTTCAATAAACAGAATAGCATATTAGCTTTCTATTGCTGCTGTAACAAATTACCACAAACTCAGTGACTTAAAATAATACAAACTTATTTCCTTACAGTTCTGCATGTCAGAAATCTGCCACGGGTCTCACTGGGCTACAACCAAGATGCTGACAGGTCTGCATCCTTCCTGCAGACTGAGAACATTCCTGCTTTTTCCAGCTCCCAGAGGCTGCCCACGCATGTTCCCTGGCTCACGGCCCCGTCATCACAGCCAGCAATGATCCACCGAGTCTGCCGCTCCTGCCTCCCTCTTCCACTCTTACAGACCCTCGTGATTACACTGGGCCCACCAGATAATGCAGGACAACTTCCCTTTCGAAGGGCAACTGATTAGCAAACTTCGTATCTGCAACCTGAATTTCCCTCTGTCACACAACCTCACTATTCATAAGTTTAGGGGATTAGGCTACAGATCTCTTTGGGGAGGGGGTATTATTCTGTCTGTCACAAATAATATGCACCCTTCACAAAACACGACAAGCAATCAGATCCAAAAGGTGGATTCATTAAGTGATTCAGTCACTTAATTTATTAAGCGATTTAGCTAATCTGCCTGGCTACAAATTGGGTAACTGCAGTCTTTTGCACGACACAAATACTGGATCTAATGTACAGCTGTCACCTGGCCCAACCCAGAACCCAGGAACAGATTTTGATATTGAAGATTGACACTGAAGACTTGACACTAGGCTTAAATATCCAAACTCAAACTCAAACTCAAAAGACTGAACTTAGCAATGTGAACGCTGACAAGTCTTGGAATAGGTGGCACAGAGACCCAAACTGACTTCCTACTACGGACAGCTCAGCCCAGCACCACAGCGCAGGGGGACCCTAACCTCCCAGGCCAAGGAATGGCTAACTCAAACTTTTCCTTACCCAGTGGCCCTCACCCGTCTCCAGGAAGTATTCTAAACTACTCCAGTTTTTCCATGAGTAATGTTCCATCTGAAACAGAAACCCAAACAAAATGACTTTCTGTAGCTAAAAACATACCTGCTCTAGAAAGCAGAATTCACTTAGGCATTACAGAAATGGACTATGAATACTGGTTTTGAAATCCTGGGGAGTTTGCTCTTGGCTAGCAGTGAAACTCAAACAGCAGGGCTTTCTTGACTCCACCTGGAATCCCCCAAGTCCTAGCTCAGTTCTGTGGAAACCCAGACGTGGCCTGAATCGTCTTGAGTACCCAAGGTCTAGCGAGTGGACTTACTCATGTAGGTAAAATTTAAAACTGGATTGGATCTTGAGTAAAGAGAGAAAGGGCCAACGGTATTATCTCTATTGATGTAGTTGACTGTGAAGGTCCCTACAGTTTGCAATTCTTTGCCATTTAT